CCTTCGTTACTTCTCGTTGTTCTTTCAGCTGACGCACCTCCTCCCGCAGAGATTCTAACTCTGTCCTCAGGGCTCCCACTAGAGTCACCAGGTCCTTAACTACAACTTCCATATTGCTATGATAATTTAACAACACTCAGGAGCTCCGGTTAACACAACGGAGCTGCCTCGTATGGACCAATAGGAGCTGCCTCGTATGGACCAATAGGAGCTGCCTCGTATGGAGCAATAGGAGCTGCCTCGTATGGGCCAATAGGAGCTGCCTCGTATGGGCCAATAGGAGCTGCCTCGTATGGACCAATAGGAGCTGCCTCGTATGGGCCAATAGGAGCTGCCTCGTATGGGCCAATAGGAGCTGCCTCGTATGGGCCAATAGCAGCTGCCTCGTATGGACCAATAGGAGCTGCCTCGTATGGGCCAATAGGAGCTGCCTCGTGTGGACCAATAGGAGCTGCCTCGTATGGACCAATAGGAGCTGCCTCGTATGGACCAATAGGAGCTGCCTCGTATGGGCCAATAGGAGCTGCCTCGTATGGACCAATAGGAGCTGCCTCGTATGGACCAATAGGAGCTGCCTCGTATGGACCAATAGGAGCTGCCTCGTATGGACCAATAGGAGCTGCCTCGTATGGACCAATAGGAGCTGTCTCGTATGGACCAATAGGAGCTGCCTCGTATGGACCAATAGGAGCTGCCTCGTACGGACCAATAGGAGCTGCCTCGTACGGACCAGCAGTGTTCCTCTATTTTAAGCTCTCAATATTCACCTATTCCTCAAATATTAGTGAAATATAACAGTGAAGCAACACTGGTGCTATACGAGTATAGCAGTGAAGCAACACTGGTGCTATACGAGTATAACAGTGAAGCAACACTGGTGCTATACTAGTATAACAGTGAAGCAACACTGGTGCTATACGAGTATAGCAGTGAAGCAACACTGGTGCTATACTAATATAACAGTGAAGCAACACTGGTGCTATACTAGTATAACAGTGAAGCGACACTGGTGCTATACAGATATAACAGTGAAGCGACACTGGTGCTATACGAGTATAACAGTGAAGCAACACTGGTGCTATACAGATATAACAGTGAAGCGACACTGGTGCTATACAGATATAACAGTGAAGCAACACTGGTGCTATACAGATATAACAGTGAAGCAACACTGGTGCTATACAGATATAACAGTGAAGCAACACTGGTGCTATACAGATATAACAGTGAAGCAACACTGGTGCTATACAGGTATAGCTCGTCGCCTAAAACATTAAGTTAGTGTGTGTGTCAAGAGTTTCTGGAGAAATAACTGTTCTCGTGCTGAACCAGCCAGAGTTCTCTCCTTGATGGGAATTCTAAAGGAAAGTTGGTAAATTAATTCCTGGTCTCGTCTCCGTGATCAGATATCCCTTTCTCTTTGTATACAAACTTCAAGGGTTTCGAACCCATGTTCTCAAGTTGAGGGGGATGAGTTTGGATGAGAATGGCTGGTGTAGTGTGGTGGTGTTTACCTAGGAGTGTCCTCAAGGGAGTGAGATCTATAGCCCTATATGTCCCTTCAACTGGTCTTGTGGCACCTCCTGTGCCTTAGTTCAATCATCCAGACGTTCGAGTCCATTGTGGTGTTGGGATGTAGAGTCTTCGGGTGGAGGCGGCTTCCACAACCTCTTCTTTCAGGTCATTCCACTAGGTGACCAGCCGTACAGTGTAGCAGTGTTTCCTTACACTGATGTGTGCTTCCTTGCTTCCTCCTGTGTGCTCTTGTCATGCTGTTCCTCGCTCTAATGACACTGTACAGTGTGACGACTCAGGAGGCGGTTGTGGTAGTATCAGGTGTTGTTATCTTGAGATGATTTCGGGGCTCTAGTGTCCCCGCGGCCCGGTCCTCGACCAGGCCTCCACCCCCAGGAAGCAGCCCGTGACAGCTGACTAACACCCAGGTACCTGTTTACTGCTAGGTAACAGGGGCATTCAGGGTGAAAGAAACTTTGCCCATTTGTTTCTGCCTCGTGCGGGAATCGAACCCGCGCCACAGAATTACGAGTCCTGCGCGCTATCCACCAGGCTACGAGGCCCCTGGTTGTTGTGGTTGTTGTGTAAGTGTGGGTAGTTGTGGTGGTAAGGTTAGTGATGGTAGTCGTGTTGTAGGTTGTGGCGGAGGTTGTGAAATATGACTCTCCAACCCGTCCTCAGAACAAGTCCATTCCGTCCAGCGGTCGACCCCAAAGACGCATTCATCAATTTTAAAATTCTGTTCATTCAAAATTTGACTTCTCAAATATAAATTAATATTGTTATATATTAGCGTACTGTGCATATTTAGATAGAGATTAGGTTAGAAGTTTACGTTCTGTTGGCGATTATTTGTATTTGTAGTACGTGGGTGAAGCATTTATAGCGTTGTGGCTCGAACAAAAGTCGTCAGTGAAGCACTTGTTCGAGAAAGTGTTCGAACGTCATCAGTTGTAATCACACAGTTTTGCATTAATAAACAGCGGGTTAGGCGAGTACATGGAATAGACTTACACCTTTGTTATTGAGAACGTGCTGAACTCCCCATTGTCTTGTACCCTGCGCCAGCCCGGCCTCTGATCTTCCTGGACTTGTTCTCTTACACTGAGAGTCTCCAGTTATCTTGTACCCTGCGCCAGCCCGGCCTCTGATCTTCCTGGACTTGTTCTCTTACACTGAGAGTCTCCAGTTATCTTGTACCCTGCGCCAGCCCGGCCTCTGATCTTCCTGGACTTGTTCTCTTACACTGAGAGTCTCCAGTTATCTTGTACCCTGCGCCAGCCCGCCCTCTGATCTTCCTGGACTTGTTCTCTTACACTGAGAGTCTCCAGTTATCTTGTACCCTGCGCCAGCCCGCCCTCTGATCTTCCTGGACTTGTTCTCTTACACTGAGAGTCTCCAGTTATCTTGTACCCTGCGCCAGCCCGCCCTCTGATCTTCCTGGACTTGTTCTCTTACACTGAGAGTCTCCAGTTATCAGTTAGAGGAGGGGGAGTTATAAGGGGAAAGCGCCAAGCCATTACGACTATATAACACAGGGGAAGGAGGTCAGGATGAGGATTTGGAACGGGACGGAGGGAAGGAATGGTGCCCAACCACTTGGACGCTCGGGGGATTGAACGCCGACCTGCATGGAGCGAGACAGCTTCATAATAACAGACAGCTTCACAAAAGCAGACAACTTCATAATAACAGACAACTTCATAATAACAGACAACTTCATAATAACAGACAACTTCATAATAACAGACAACTTCATAATAACAGACAACTTCATAATAACAGACAACTTCATAATAACAGACAACTTCATAATAACAGACAACTTCATAATAACAGACAACTTCATAATAACAGACAGCTTCATAATAACAGACAGCTTCATAATAACAGACAGCTTCATAATAACAGACAACTTCATAATAACAGACAACTTCATAATAACAGACAGCTTCATAATAACAGACAGCTTCATAATAACAGACAACTTCATAATAACAGACAACTTCATAATAACAGACAACATAATAACAGACAGCTTCATAAAAGCAGACAACTTCATAATAACAGACAACTTCATAATAACAGACAACTTCATAATAACAGACAACTTCATAAGTAAGCCAAGGTGGATACGATAGTTGAATTCTTCACTTCAGTGAAGAATTCACAAATCTTATGTCGTAAGATTGACATTCAGGCATAATCTCATGTCAATAATTGACATTATTGACATAAGATTGAAATAATAATAAGAATTGACAAGATATTACAACATCAGAAAGGAACGAAAACATAAACACGAAAATAACATTAAAAAGTATTAGTATGAGCTTTTAAAATAACAAATGCCGAATAGCAATCACAGAAACATGGGTGAAATTGTCCGCAGAATATCACAATATTTTAAATAAATTTCTTCTCAATGGGTGAAAAGCTGTATATATATATATATATATATATATATATATATATATATATATATATATATATGTCGTACCTAGTAGCCAGAACTCACTTCTCAGCCTACTATGCAAGGCCCGATTTGCCTAACAAGCCAAGTTTTCATGAAATATTTGTTTTTCGACTACCTAACCTATCTAACCTAACCTAACCTAACTTTTTCGGCTACCTAACCTAACCTAACCTATAAAGATAGGTTAGGTTAGGTTAGGTAGGGTTGGTTAGGTTCGGTCATATATCTACGTTAGTTTTATCTCCAATTAAAAAAAATTTTCCTCATACATAATGAAATGGGTAGCTTTATCATTTCATAAGAAAAAAATTAGAGAAAATATATTAATTCAGGAAAACTTGGCTTATTAGGCAAATCGGGCCTTGCATAGTAGGCTGAGAAGTGCGTTCTGGCTACTAGGTACGACATATATATATATATATATATATATATATATATATATATATATATATATATATATATATATATATATATATATATATATATATATATATATATATATATATATATATATATATATATATATATATATATATATATATATATATATATATATATATATATATATATATATATATATATATTATATATATATATATATATATATATATATATATATATATATATATATATATATATATATATATATATATATTAGAAATGAAACACACCCTTGCTTCACTCTCACACATTAACCTCAGCGTGAATATGACATTGTTAATGAGAGTGACTCCGTCATCTTCACACTCACTCTTCCTTCTCTCTGACAGACGGAGCACGGAGTGAACATGATATATATATGAGTGACTATCCTCCTGACACTCACTCTGACAGACGGAGCACGGGGTGAACATGATATTTATGAGAGTGACTCTATCCTCCTCATACTCACTCTAACCTTGCCTCACTGTGACAGACGGAGCACGGAGTGAACATGATATTTATGAGAGTGACTCTATCCTCCTCATACTCACTCTAACCTTGCCTCACTGTGACAGACGGAGCACGGAGTGAACATGAGCACCTCGAGAGTGAGACTGAGAGCTACAAGGCGCCATCACGGGCAGCGGCTGACCTGCATCTCCATCAACCCGCTCTTCCCGGCCTTCCCTCTAGCAGACTCCATCTTGCTAAACGTTACCTGTAAGTAATCTCCGGAATATATGGCGTGTACGGTCCTGTCTAATTGGGTCGTGTGGGATGGCTCCATTTAACTCTTGGATCATTGCCTATTAACCTTTCAAATCTTAGGTGCCTACACACCTGATACACACATGTATCATACTGCTTGAAATTCCTCCTATTTCAGAGTTCAGGAGAAGGTTACCCAGTTGGCCAGTGCTACACACCTGTTACACATCACTGGTATCCCCGCCCACACACCTGTTCCAGACCACTGGTATCTCCGCCTACACACCTGTTACGGACCACTGGTATCCCCGCCCACACACCTGTCACAGACCACTGGTATCCCCGCACTGGTATCTCCGCCCACACACCTGTTACACACCACTGGTATCCTCGCCCTCACACCTGTTACAGACCACTGGTATCCTCGCCCACACACCTGTTACACACCACTGATATCCCCGCCCACACACCTGTCACAGACCACTGGTATCTCCGCCCACACACCTGTTACAGACCACTGGTATCCTCGCTCACACACCTGTCACAGACTACTGGTATCCCCGCCCACACACCTGTTACACACCACTGGTATCCCCGCCCTCACACCTGTTACACACCACTGGTATCCCCGCCCACACACCTGTTACAGACCACTGGTATCTCCGCCTACACACCTGTTACGGACCACTGGTATCCCCGCCCACACACCTGTTACACACCACTGGTATCCCCGCCCACACACCTGTTACGGACCACTGTTATCCTCGCCCACACACCTGTCACAGACCACTGGTATCCTCGCCCACACACCTGTTACGGACCACTGTTATCCCCGCCCACACACCTGTTACGGACCACTGGTATCCTCACCCACACACCTGACACAGACCACTGGTATCCCCGCTAGTATTAAATATAAATTTATTTATTTAATAAATAATAATAATAAATTGTATATATATATATATATATATATATATATATATATATATATATATATATATATATATAGTATATTTTGGTAGCAGTCTTTCCTGTAGACATATATTATTAAATATGACCGAAAAAGTAAGATTAATAATTCTAACACGAATTTTCTCAATCTTTCGTACATTACGCTTCACTGTTGGAGGTAAATCAAAAATCACTTCTCCAAAATTCATTTTTATTTCTAGTCTGACGCGACACGGGCGCGTTTCGTAAAACTTATTACATTTTCAAAGACTTCACAAATACACAACTGGTTAGAACGTATCTCTGATTTTATATCTACATTTGAGTGAGGTGGGAGGGGTGATGTGGCATTAACACAAGACAGAACAAGAGGGGATATTAATAGGGTATTAAAAGTATCAACACAAGACAGAACAGAAACAATGGGTATTGAATAGAAGTGTTTGTAGAAAGCCTATTGGTCCATATTTCTTGATGCTTCTATATTGGAGCGGAGTCTTGAGGTGGGTAGAATATAGTTGTGCAATAATTGGCTGTTGATTGCTGGTGTTGACTTCTTGATGTGTAGTGCCTCGCAAACGTCAAGCCGCCTGCTATCGCTGTATCTATCGATGATTTCTGTGTTGTTTACTAGGATTTCTCTGGCGATGGTTTGGTTATGGGAAGAGATTATATGTTCCTTAATGTAATTATATGTTCCTTAATATATATATATATATGTTCTAATCAGTTGTGTATTTGTGAAGTCTTTGAAAATGTAATAAGTTTTACGAAACGCGCCCGTGTCGCGTCAGACTAGAAATAAAAATGAATTTTGGAGAAGTGATTTTTGATTTACCTCCAACAGTGAAGCGTAATGTACGAAAGATTGAGAAAATTCGTGTTAGAATTATTAATCTTACTTTTTCGGTCATATTTAATAATATATATATATATATATATATATATATATATATATATATATATATATATATATATATATATATATATATATGTCGTACCTAGTAGCCAGAACGCACTTCTCGGCCTACTATGCAAGGCCCGATTTGCCTAATAAGCCAAGTTTTCCTGAATTAATATATTTTCTTTAATTTTTTTCTTATGAAATGATAAAGCTACCCATTTCATTATGTATGAGGTCAATATTTTTTTATTGCAGTTAAAATTAACGTAGATATATGACCGAACCTAACCAACCCTACCTAACCTAACCTAACATATCTTTATAGGTTAGGTTAGGTTAGGTAGCCGAAAAAGTTAGGTTAGGTTAGGTTAGGTAGGTTAGTTAGTCGAAAAACAATTAGTTCATGAAAACTTGGCTTATTAGGCAAATTGGGCCTTGCATAGTAGGCTGAATAGTGCGTTCAGGCTACTAGGTACGACATATATATATATATATATATATATATATATATATATATATATATATATATTTATTTATTTATTTATTTATATACAAGAAGGTACATTGGGTTTGTGAGAATACATAGCATAGTACAGTAATTGCACTCTTGTAAAGCCACTAATACGCGCAGGGTTTCGGGCAGGTCCTTATTCTAACAGATAATTTTAAGTAGGTAAATTCTATCAGAATTAATAAAATGATAACAAATACATTGCAAGAAAAAAATTGAGATGAGAGAGATTAGTAAGTATATTAAAGCACATTGGTATATTAAAGCTCTGAGTGATTACATTGACAGCTTGATTGGTAATTTAAACAAGATTAATAGACACCATACAGCAGATTGACAGTACATATAAGAAGACAAAAATGATCACAATGATAAAGATGTTCAGATTGGGTACATAAAGATTGGGAGATTGGGTAGCAATAGATACAGTGCAATTTTAAAGCAAAAGGTTAAAAACTATGAAGATGAAATTAGGTACTTTTTAGTATTTTTTTGAATGACGCAAAAGTTGGACAACTTTTCAATTCAATAGGGAGTGAGTTCCATAGACTGGGTCCCTTTATTTGCATAGAGTGTTTACACAGATTAAGTTTAACTCTGGGGATATCAAAGAGATATTTATTTTGGTGTGGTGATAATGGGTCCTATTACATCTGTCCAGGGAGAGTTTCAGACCAGGATTTGCATTTAAGAACAGGGTTTAGTAAATGTAGTTACATATATAGTTACAGTTACAAAACATATATATAACATATGTCGTACCTAGTAGCCAGAACGCGCTTCTCGGCCTAATATGCAATGCCCGATTTGCCTAATAGGCCGAATGATTTTCTTTATTTTCAATAAATTGTTTCTAGTTAGTTTATTTGAATTATTATTACTATATTATAACAAGAAAATAAATTATTGACTTTGTTGAGTTAGTTTAGGTTAGGTTAAGATAGGTTAGGTTAGGTTAGGTAGGGTTGGTTAGGTTCGGTCATATATCTACGTTAGTTTTAACTCAAATTCAAACAAATTAATGCATACATAATGAAATGGATAGCTTTATGATTTCGCAAGAAAAAAATTAGAAAAATATATAAATTCAGGAAAACTTGGCTTATTAGGCAAATCGGGCCTTGCATAGTTGGCCGAGTACTGCGTTCTGGCTACTAGGTGCAACATTATATATATATATATATATATATATATATATATATATATATATATATATATATATATATATATATATATATATATATATATGTATATATAAAGGTGTAAACAGAAATTTCTTTAAAAATTATCAATTACAATGAGAATATACAAAATAAAAGCTGAATTACAATGAGAGAAACATGGGTGAAAATGTCAACAGAATGCCAAATTATATTCAAACTAAATAGTACCAAATATCTATTAAAGTTCCCAGTTGCTGATGACCCCAGAACATCAGAGAGAAGGCACGAACGATTGGGCTCTAACACAGGAATGTGCAAGTGAAGATCTCTGCTATGCATCAATAGACAAAGATCTAAACTAAGAGGTTTGATGACCAAGATCTGAATAGGTATGAATATGGTTAATCCATATTTGAAAGATCTTATTGCATAACACTGAGTGATTTCAAGGAGCTAATCCTTGAGACTGTGTACTTGTATCAAGACTTGATACCTTACATGCGTTCACAAGGGAAACTTGCCAGGTGAACAGGTGCATTAGGTGATAGGAAACGCGTCCAACAATTTTCGTGCCACCCGGGACTCGAACCCGGAATTCTCAACTGCGAGTCGAGAACGAACCCTCGGAGTTTGACTAGAAACACGCCTAAAACCACCCGTCCTCACACTACAGCCCGTCCTGCACACAATGATCCAGGCTCGTTAATACACCCGCCAAACCCACTTTTTATGCAGCCCGTCCTCATAAACAAAGGCCAAAGTCCAATCCATGCACCCGCCAAACTCCCTGTTTATGATTGAAAAAGGGGTTTACACACGACTCACAACTGATGACGTTCGAACACTTCCGGAACAAGTGCTTCGCTGACGACTCGTGTTCGAGCCACAACGCTGTAAATGCTTCACCCAAGCACTACAAAAACAAATATTCGCCAAGAGAACCTAAACACCTAAAATAACCAGCCTGGCCTGAGGACAGGTTGGCCTAACAACCCAACCACAGAGCCAGTCAGGAACAACAGGGCGACCCCGGGCCCGTGTAACAAGCTTCCTGAGAAGAAAGCTTTAAAAAGCTTGGCCCTCTAATAAAGCTGTTGGTGTAAGTTTCTTGCTAAAAAATATTGCAAATTGCGCAAGCTTTTACTGAAAGCTGGGAGAACATCCATGAATAAAGGAACATAGGAAAACAGCGGTGAGAGGAATAGGCCTATTAGCATTAGCCAGGTAATTTTAATTAAAAAAAACTTGTACTCACCTATTTGTGCTTGCGGGGGTTGAGCTCTGGCTCTTTGGTCCCGCCTCTCAACTGTCAATCAACTGGTGTACAGGTTTCTGAGCCTACTGGGCTCTATCATATCTACATTTAAAACAGTGTATGGAGTCAGCCTCCACCACATCTCTGGCTAATGCATTCCATCTGTTAACTACTCTGACACTGACAAAGTTATTTCTAACGTCCCTGTGGCTCATGTGGGTACTC